AGCGGCGACGTTCGCGAGATCTAATGGTATTCTGTTCATGAAACGTCAGCAAAGGGAGGTCAGAGAGTCCGCGATGCTTTCCTCAACTCAGCCAGGCAAGTGCTGCTGCAGATCCAAATGGGCCTCATTGACTGCGCCAACACGCCCGGTGTGAAAATGTCCGGTCCGGAAAGCGGCAGAGTGGCGACTGTTTACGAGAGGGGTTTGCATTTGATGCGCAACCCGGTCTATAACAAGGCGGAGGCATTCACAGAGGCCGAGCGTGAGGAGCTTGGGCTCATTGGCTTGTTACCTCCCAAGGTCCTCAGCATTGACACTCAAGTGGAAAGATGCATGCAACAGCTTCGAACCAAGGATACAGATATAGGCCGCTACATCTACCTGGAAGGTGTACACAATCGCAATGAAACGTTGTATTATCGTCTGCTTCTGGACAACATCACGGATCTGATGCCCATCGTATACACTCCGTCGGTGGGTCAGGCCTGCAAGGACTTCGATCGTATTTTCCGAGGCTCTCGTGGTATTTACTTTAATATCTCGGAGAAAGGCAACTTCAAACAAGTCATCTGGAACAGCAATGTTCGTGATGCTGATATCATCGTGGTCACTGATGGTTCTCGTATTCTTGGTCTTGGTGATCTTGGTACCAACGGTATGGGTATCCCTATTGGTAAACTCTCCCTTTATGTCGCATGTGCCGGTATCAACCCTGGCCGCACTGTGCCTGTTACCCTTGATGTCGGTACTAATAACCCGGATCTGCTCAATGATGATATGTACCTTGGTGAGCGCCATAAGAGAGTCGATGGTGAGGAGTACTATGCTGCTGTGGACGAGTTTGTCGATGCTGTCCGTTCCCGTTGGCCCGGTGTCCTCATCCAATTCGAGGACTTCACTAATGATCACGCCTTCCCCCTCCTCAAGAGGTATCAAGAGAACATCTTATGCTTTAATGATGATATCCAGGGTACTGGCTCTGTCGCCCTGGCAGGAGTACTCACCGCAATGCGAGCCAAATCCGAGGCTCTCGCTGACCAACGCATCGTTTTCTTCGGGGCCGGCTCTGCAGCTGTCGGGGTAG